CCCCCCCCCTCGCCTCGGTGCCCTGCCCTGCTTCCTCCGCGCCTGTGCCAAGGAAGCCCAGCCAGCTGACCCGCCTTCATACTGGACGCCCGGGCCGCTCTTTGTCCTGCCCCCAATGGCCACAGTTCAAACTTCCTGGTTGCCGGTGGCCAACGTTCGGAGCTCACCTTGCGAGACCTCCGGACCGGAACGTGCGTGCATCCCATCACCCTCCTTCTTTTCCGGGGGGCGCCCTGAGCCTGTGCAGCCGCACCGTCCCCCGTCGTCATGACCATACTCTCGCAGGGGGCACTCCGCTCGACAGGTGGCTGCCAACTAATCCTCCCCCCCCCCTCCCCCCTGCAATGTGCAGCATCACCAACAAGAACCTCTCTTCGTCGATCAACAACGCACTCTTCATCCACCGGCCCTGGCAAGACCCGGCCGCCACGCATCTGTACGTCAGCAACAATGACGAGAGCGTGCGCGTCTTCTCGCTGCCGAGCTTCGGCCAGGTGGCCCACCTCACTTGCGAGACGCCGGTCAACTATGGTACGCAAGCTGTGTGCACCCCCCCCCCCCCCCGCCCCCGTCTCGAGTGCGGGGAAGCCGGGGCCTGTTCCGGGCCGCGGCCAAGAGGGAGAGAGAGAGAAACAAAGGGGGAGGAGCCAAGGGGCAGGCCTGCCTGGGATGAGGAGGGTAGACTGACGTGTTGAGGCTGGCTCTTTTCCTTTTCTTGCCCCCAGCCTCAGTCAGCCCATGTGGCTCATGGCTCGCTGTCTGCGGCGACAGCAAGATCATCTACCTCTACTCCATGAAGTACCACCCGCCGACACAGGGTCTTGGCCAGCTGCTCGGGACTGGGCGCTCCGATCGGGCAGGTTCGATGGCCGACCCCCTTGGCCATGCGGGAGGCATGTATGGCTCGATTGATTTCCACTTCGTCCAGAAGCTCAGCGGTACGTCGTAGACGCCCCGCGCGTGGTGTGATCGACCATCGCCTGGGTGGTGCTTATGCTGGCTCTTTTGTGCCGGTGCCCATGGCGGCCTTCTCCCAGAGAGGACCTCCAGGACAAACGCCTCCGCCGGGGTGATAGCCTGCTAACCAGCGCCCTTTGTCTCATGACTCCATCTCTGGGCCTTTGTCATTCTCTCGTTTGCTTGCTCTCTCTCTCTCTCTCT